TTATGCTGAGAGTGCTCATTAATACAAAACAAACTTAATTTTTAGTGAATTGATCCAATCTCAATCTATATAATATTGAGCAACAAAAAATATTCATACCAAATCACATTCTAGATCTAACAAGCCAACTTGAACTTTCACTACACAAAATCTTGGACAATAATCTTATGCTAACATGCACTCTTGTGTTAGAGGGTGCAGATATGGGTGTTTACTGGAAATATCTTTTCTTAATTTTTAATGTTATCCTCCTCTTGTTTGTTTAATCTTTTTGTCCTTGTGCATATTTTTAAGTGCTGTAGTTTTGCATCTTATACCACTTGCACACATGTTCATGAAAAAATTTTCCCCTAAAGTAGCTTTATTTGTGGATGAATTAGCTAACTCCTGCTTCATTGCAACGTAGCGAAAGGTGGAGAAATTACTTATCAGTAAAGGTAATTTTCTGGGATCTATCATATCTGAGCTCAATAAAGAATTGCTTGCATCTGCTATTTCCTATTAACATTTTAGGCTTCAAATTGTCATGGCATTTATGGATTTATTATGACTCGTAAGAAATCGGAGAAAAAATTAAAAGTTCAAGAGAAGTTGTAGACCCTCAACTGTATTGGATGTCCCAACATTAAGAAATTTACAGTCACATCTTCAGCTTACTGTTTTCATCTATCTAAGTTAAACCTTAACTTGTCTGCTAACCTGAAGGAAGGGGATCTAGCATGCTTCAATCTCAATACTCTTAATTTGAGATCAATTTCCTGTTATATCTTTGTTAGTTTGTCATCTGGTTGTATCTACATGTCCACTAATAGTTTTTTTTTCTGTTCCCACCTTTTTTTGGTGTTCAGCAATTGTTGCTCCTTGGAGATCTTAAAGCTTGATTGCCCCAGATTGATGTACCTTCAGCTTCTGGTAATTGCATTTTTGAATTCTGATACTGCAAATATATAACATATTCTCATATTTTAAATTTCTGGATCATAAAAATCATTAGCCTCGTGTCCTGTGGGAACTCCAAATAGAGGGTCTAATATTAGTTTTATGATCAACCTTACGTCATCACTATGCCAAATCTCTTAGCAATGACTGATAGCATTAAACATTAAACTTTAAAAGGAAAAGGTTGGTAATATGAATGTTGACTGGTGGTGCTTCTTCTTCCTGCGCTATGGACTTCTCTCTTCACTCCTCTCAGCCACGCCTCCCCTTCCATATTCTCGGTGAGCTCCTCCTCCTGGCAATCTCAACATCAATTAAGATTGCCCTTATTATTATTGTTATTATTCTTGTAAAATTTACGTCATGCTTCTGTGGATGGGGTAATTGGGATTAGGTTTAGGTAACCGCTACACCCCCCCCCCCCCCTCCCCCCTTCAGATCTTAATATTGGGATGTTTACCTCCTGATCCGACTTATGTGCGAGCGAAGGAAGGAGTTTGTACATTGCATAGGTAGTTAGGGTGGATCCATCATGCGTATAACAATATCAAACTCCATTCCAAACAATTGCATACGAAAGAGCACAATTAATTTTGTAGGGCATTAAACTGATTACATTCACATGCTCATGATGCAATTACTTTAGTATCGTATTTCATTCATGGACACTTTTTTACACACACAAAAAAAGGAAGCTTGATCCTTTTGACGTTCCCCTCTTTGGAGTTTGGATACATCTGATTTGGTACAGGTACAGGGCCTCACGCATTTGTTATTTCTGCAGCTTATCACAAGTGTTGGAGATTTTTCTCAGTCGTAAGTACATCATATGTCACCCTTATGAGGCTGGATGGGCGTCGAAATTGAAATCATAGACTCCCACCTAGTGCGTGACGCAGAAGTAGTAGATTCATTCAACTTGCTATGATAGATTGAAGAGTTCTTGAAATGATCTTATGACATTGCTTCCTTAAATGCCATTCTCTCCAAGCTTAACCACTGAATTAATTCTGTTAAACCGGTATAACGAGTACATGGAAAATAATTAGTGAGGAGTTGCGACTTGTATAAAGAGTACATGGAAAAGAATTAGTGAGGAGTTGGGACTTTTGTAATTTGTTATTCTGAGTGTATGTCACAAATATTAGTAATAAATTAAAGACAAAAGAATCTAGGACAAATTGCTAACGGACCATAAGACACAGAAAAATATATGCACGCTAAATTTTGAGCGTGTCGTGAATCAAAATGGCACTTGGCATGAGTCCTCAAGGATGTGTTGAGTGCACATCTGACAAATGCCACATAGCCCAACATGATCGTAAATCTTACTCTACAACTTTCAATATAATAGGAGAAAACTTCTCAATGTGTGGTAAATTCACTGTTGAATGTGGCTGCATTGGTTTGATGATCTTAGTGCATAGCATAGGACACTACTTTCTATCTAAAAGTTTTCTCCCCAAATACTTAGACTTAATATTTCTGCCACTATTACATGAGCTCATTGGATTAGAATCTGAGAGTGGAATCAAT